CCCCAAAACCCCAAAACCCCTCAATACCAAGATTACTCATAATTGATAAGAATTAATTGTATATATTGTTAATAGATAATTATTTATACTTATTATTACTTTATGGAAAAAATGAATACCACGATTACTCAGGAATTAATTGACGCATAGGAGACACTTTAACAGACTCAGAGTCATCTTGCACATCAAAACATCGATGCTGCTATTGATTAGTTGACTCCCCTAACCCCAGAGATCATCTCTCGCCAGGCAACCATCAATATTGGTACTATTGGTCACGTCGCCCATGGAAAATCTACTCTTGTCAGAGCAATCTCAGGTGTAAATGTAAGTCTTCACAATTCTAGGCGTGTTTCATGTTTATTAATATCTGTATGTTTAGACCGTTCGTCATTATAAGGAAAGATTCAGAAATATCACAATTAAGCTGGGATACGCCAATGCCAAGCTATATAAATGCCCAACTTGCCCACCTCCAGAATGCTATAAATCTTTTGGCTCAGAGAAGGAAGATAACCCAAAATGCACTACTGCAGGTTGTGACTCAAATCTTTTGCTCATCAGACACGTCTCATTCGTAGATTGCCCAGGCCATGATGTGCTCATGGCTACCATGTTGGCAGGAGCTGCAGTTATGGACTCAGCTCTGCTCTTGATTGCTGGTAACTAACCCTGCCCTCAACCACAAACTAGCGAGCACTTGGCTGCTGTTGAGATCATGAAGCTCCAACACATTATCATTGTTCAAAATAAGATTGATATCATCATCAAGGACCCATCTGCTGCTAACAAGCAATTTGAAGACATTAAGAAATTCGTTTAAGGATCAATTGCTGAAGGAGCTCCAATTATTCCCATTTCTGCTCAAATGAAATACAACGTAGACTTCGTTGTTGATTATATTTGCAGAATTCCAGTTCCTCTTAGAGATTTTACTAGTGCCCCTCAAATGATCGTCATTCGTTCTTTCGACGTTAACAAGCCAGGTGAAGATGCTGAGACCTTAAGAGGTGGTGTTGCCGGAGGTACCATCTTGAAGGGAGTCTTAAAGATTGGTGATGAAATCGAAATCCGCCCAGGTATGATTAGAAAGGACTCAAAGTCAGGTCAAGTCACCTGGAAATAAATCTACTCAAAGATTACCTCACTTAAAGCTGACGAAAATCACTTAATGTATGCTGTCCCAGGTGGTCTTATTGGAGTTGGTCTCAAAGTTGATCCTTTCATTACTAGATCTGATAGATTAGTTGGCCAAATTATTGGACATCCAGACAAGATGCCAGATGTTGTTGTTGAAATTGAAGCACAATACTATTTATTGAGAAGACTTTTGGGAGTCAAGAATGAAGGAGATAAGACTAAGAGCAAGGTCCAAAAGCTTAAAGTTGATGAAACCCTCATGATCAATATTGGTTCAACTTCCTTAGGAGGAAAGGTCATCTCATTCAACTCAGACTAAGTTAGAATACAATTCTTGAATCCAGTTTGCGCTAACGAGGGTGAGAAGATTGCCATGAGTAGAAGAATCGATAGAAACTTCAGACTGATTGGTTGGGGTCAAATCAAAAAGGGCTATACATCTAAGTCTAAAAAGGCAGGCACTTAATGAACATAGCTTGAAAAGATAGAAACTGTATGTGAGTATTATAATTGATTGCATGTCCTTTTAAATTCATAAATGCCAGCGCATATTCTGCAGCCATGTATACTCTGCATGCATTAATTGATATCTATATTTTCTTTAATTAGGCTCTGAAGATTATTTAAATTTCCTTATTTCACTTTATAATATTAAATTACTAACAAAAACATGAAAAGTTTCATATAACTTGTCATCTTATGGTTTACATTCTTTAATCTAATAGCATCAGAGGAGATTTTAATGTTAAATGATTCAAACTTTGAAGAAACAGTAGATAAATATGAATAACTAGTTGTGCTATTTCATGCTAATAAAAGGTAATGACCAATCATTGTTATTTGCTAAACAATATTATAGCTCAGATTGTTAAGATTCATTGCTCAACAATTTCATGAAAGCCCAATTTTAGTTGAAAAATGACTCGAGAATGAGAGTTAATAGTAATTCTCTTAAATTTGGTCTCTACAACTCCATTGAAAACCAAAGAATAGCAAAAAAATACTAGGCATTATACGATGATAAAATAATATTCTATAGAGAGGGAATGACAATTGATTATGAATATGACCAAAATGAATAAAATCAGGATGATAAAGTTATTTATTAGGATGTCTTTGATTGGATTATCAAGCGTTCAACTAATCATATAGAAATTCTATATAACTGTGATGAGATTAGACCATATATGTTTTACGAGCTTTAGATGCTACCTGAAGAGGTTCTAATTATATATTATCGGGGAAGTAATCAATCAAGTTCTCATTACATGAGATAGGAAACCTCTAAAAATAACTTTGAATAAATTTCAATGCTTATATCTGAGCTTGATAACAGAAAATACTTTGTTGAGCTAAATGAGTGGACACAAAGTTGCGACTTAATAATTGCAAATAATTCATAATTTCACTAGTATGACTTGAAAGAACCCTTAGTAATGATGATGAATTTTATGGTGTAAAATGTTAGTTTAACTTAGAAATTTGATGAATCCTACTTGGTAGATTGGGTTAAAATGAAGTCAAATAATGGGATGATAGATTACAACCCTTCTTATCCATATGAATTATTAGGAGCTTCAATGCCATCAATTATCTTGATAGCCGATAAATAGCATTTAATTTAATCATTGGTTTATCAAAGTTTCAAGAATTTAAGGGAGATGCTGACTGATTAGATATTTGTATTTTTAGATAGGTAGATACTAAGACGAGATTATTTTATAATAGATACTTTGTTGATAAAAAATTATAGATAAGATTTGAATGAACTGGGAATGTATGTAATCATACCCTACAGAGAAAGCTTCAAAAGATATAGATTAAAGCAAAACATAGATTTATCATAGGATACAAATACTACAATAATTAAAGATTTATTGATAAATTTCTTCAAACACAATTCAAGTGAAAATTTTGAAGAAGTATTAAAGAATGAAGATGATTTATAGTTTCCCTATATCTAAGAGAACTTAAGCAGTCTTAGAAATGTTAATGGAAGCTATATAAGATAGATATACGAATAATTCGGAGAATTAGAAAAATTTGTGCAAAATGAGTATATTATCTTATTTACCTAGGACAATTGCTAGTACTGTGAATAACTAATGAAAATTGTAGAAGTTGTTGCTTAACAATTAAAGCTTTAGAATAGCACGATATAGTTTTTAAAAGTAAACGTGGATAAAAATGAACTGCCCTTCATTAATAGCTTTTCCTATCTACCAGCTTTAAAGCACGTTTAATATGAAAAGATAGATAATTAAAATTTTAAAAACAAGATTTAATATAAATTGAAGGAGAATAGCTTGAGTGAATTAAAATCTTACTCAGAAATTATTGATGCTATTCAAGAAAACTCTAAAATTACCCCAAAACCCCAAAACCCCTCAATACCAAGATTACTCATAATTGATAAGAATTAATTGTATATATTGTTAATAGATAATTATTTATACTTATTATTACTTTATGGAAAAAATGAATACCACGATTACTCAGGAATTAATTGACGCATAGGAGACACTTTAACAGACTCAGAGTCATCTTGCACATCAAAACATCGATGCTGCTATTGATTAGTTGACTCCCCTAACCCCAGAGATCATCTCTCGCCAGGCAACCATCAATATTGGTACTATTGGTCACGTCGCCCATGGTAAATCTACTCTTGTCAGAGCAATCTCAGGTGTAAATGTAAGTCATCACAATTCTAGGCGTGTTTCATCTTTATTAATATCTGTATGTTTAGACCGTTCGTCATTATAAGGAAAGATTCAGAAATATCACAATTAAGCTGGGATACGCCAATGCCAAGCTATATAAATGCCCAACTTGCCCACCTCCAGAATGCTATAAATCTTTTGGCTCAGAGAAGGAAGATAACCCAAAATGCACTACTGCAGGTTGTGACTCAAATCTTTTGCTCATCAGACACGTCTCATTCGTAGATTGCCCAGGCCATGATGTGCTCATGGCTACCATGTTGGCAGGAGCTGCAGTTATGGACTCAGCTCTGCTCTTGATTGCTGGTAACTAACCCTGCCCTCAACCACAAACTAGCGAGCACTTGGCTGCTGTTGAGATCATGAAGCTCCAACACATTATCATTGTTCAAAATAAGATTGATATCATCATCAAGGACCCATCTGCTGCTAACAAGCAATTTGAAGACATTAAGAAATTCGTTTAAGGATCAATTGCTGAAGGAGCTCCAATTATTCCCATTTCTGCTCAAATGAAATACAACGTAGACTTCGTTGTTGATTATATTTGCAGAATTCCAGTTCCTCTTAGAGATTTTACTAGTGCCCCTCAAATGATCGTCATTCGTTCTTTCGACGTTAACAAGCCAGGTGAAGATGCTGAGACCTTAAGAGGTGGTGTTGCCGGAGGTACCATCTTGAAGGGAGTCTTAAAGATTGGTGATGAAATCGAAATCCGCCCAGGTATGATTAGAAAGGACTCAAAGTCAGGTCAAGTCACCTGGAAATAAATCTACTCAAAGATTACCTCACTTAAAGCTGACGAAAATCACTTAATGTATGCTGTCCCAGGTGGTCTTATTGGAGTTGGTCTCAAAGTTGATCCTTTCATTACTAGATCTGATAGATTAGTTGGCCAAATTATTGGACATCCAGACAAGATGCCAGATGTTGTTGTTGAAATTGAAGCACAATACTATTTATTGAGAAGACTTTTGGGAGTCAAGAATGAAGGAGATAAGACTAAGAGCAAGGTCCAAAAGCTTAAAGTTGATGAAACCCTCATGATCAATATTGGTTCAACTTCCTTAGGAGGAAAGGTCATCTCATTCAACTCAGACTAAGTTAGAATACAATTCTTGAATCCAGTTTGCGCTAATGAGGGTGAGAAGATTGCCATGAGTAGAAGAATCGATAGAAACTTCAGACTGATTGGTTGGGGTCAAATCAAAAAGGGCTATACATCTAAGTCTAAAAAGGCAGGCACTTAATGAACATAGCTTGAGAAGATAGAAACTGTATGTGAGTATTATGATTGATTGCATGTCCTTTTAAATTCATAAATGCCAGCGCATATTCTGCAGCCATGTATACTCTGCATGCATTAATTGATATCTATATTTTCTTTAATTAGGCTCTGAAGATTATTTAAATTTCCTTATTTCACTTTATAATATTAAATTACTAACAAAAACATGAAAAGTTTCATATAACTTGTCATCTTATGGTTTACATTCTTTAATCTAATAGCATCAGAGGAGATTTTAATGTTAAATGATTCAAACTTTGAAGAAACAGTAGATAAATATGAATAACTAGTTGTGCTATTTCATGCTAATAAAAGGTAATGACCAATCATTGTTATTTGCTAAACAATATTATAGCTCAGATTGTTAAGATTCATTGCTCAACAATTTCATGAAAGCCCAATTTTAGTTGAAAAATGACTCGAGAATGAGAGTTAATAGTAATTCTCTTAAATTTGGTCTCTACAACTCCATTGAAAACCAAAGAATAGCAAAAAAATACTAGGCATTATACGATGATAAAATAATATTCTATAGAGAGGGAATGACGATTGATTATGAATATGACCAATATGAATAAAATCAGGATGATAAAGTTATTTATTAGGATGTCTTTGATTGGATTATCAAGCGTTCAACTAATCATATAGAAATTCTATATAACTGTGATGAGATTAGACCATATATGTTTTACGAGCTTTAGATGCTACCTGAAGAGGTTCTAATTATATATTATCGGGGAAGTAATCAATCAAGTTCTCATTACATGAGATAGGAAACCTCTAAAAATAACTTTGAATAAATTTCAATGCTTATATCTGAGCTTGATAACAGAAAATACTTTGTTGAGCTAAATGAGTGGACACAAAGTTGCGACTTAATAATTGCAAATAATTCATAATTTCACTAGTATGACTTGAAAGAACCCTTAGTAATGATGATGAATTTTATGGTGTAAAATGTTAGTTTAACTTAGAAATTTGATGAATCCTACTTGGTAGATTGGGTTAAAATGAAGTCAAATAATGGGATGATAGATTACAACCCTTCTTATCCATATGAATTATTAGGAGCTTCAATGCCATCAATTATCTTGATAGCCGATAAATAGCATTTAATTTAATCATTGGTTTATCAAAGTTTCAAGAATTTAAGGGAGATGCTGACTGATTAGATATTTGTATTTTTAGATAGGTAGATACTAGGAAGAGATAATTTTCTAATAGATACTTTGTTGATAAAAAATTATAGATAAGATTTGAATGAACTGGGCATGTATGTAATTATACCCTACAGAGAAAGTTTCAAAAGATATAGATTAATGCAAAACATTGATTTATCATTGGATACAAATACTACAATAATTAAAGATTTATTGATAAATTTCTTCAAATACAATGCAAGTGAAAATTTTGAAGAAGTATTAAAGAATGAAGATGATTTATAGTTTTCCTATATCTAAGAGAGCTTAAGCAGTCTTAGAAATGTGAATGGAAGCTATATAAGATAGATATACGAATAATTCGGAGAATTAGAAAAGTTTGTGCAAAATGAGTATATTATCTTATTTACTTAGGACAATTGCTAGTACTGTGATGAACTAATGAAAATCGTAGAAGTTGTTGCTTAGCAATTAAAGCTTTAGAATAGCATGATATAGTTTTTAAAAGTAAATGTGGATAACAATGAACTGCCCTTCATTAATAGTTTTTCCTATCTACCAGCTTTAAAGCAAGTATAATATGAAAAGATAGATACTTAAAATTCTAAAAATAAGACTTAATATAAATTGAAGGAGAACAGTTTAAGTGAATTAAAATCATACTCAGAAATTATCGATGCAATTCAAGAAAACTCTAAAATTATCAATATAAATAAAAATGATAGAGACTAGGGATCACTAATATGCTATGACTCAGAGGAAAATAGAATTAATGATGTTGAATCATCAGGTTAAAAAAATGAAGATTAATCTAGTCTTGAATAGAAAGATAATAATCTTAGTATTGTAGAGGATTAGAATCCTTATAAAAGCAATTTAGTCCACGATTTTGATAATATTCTTGATTCCAGAAACCATATATAGGATAATAATGAAGACTATTAAGATTTATAAAAGTAGAAACAAGATAATGATGATTATGATAGCTCAGACTTCGAATAAGCTAAAGTTATTAATGGTGAATAATAAAAGGTATCTTAAGAAGATTTATGATTTATTAAATAAACTAATTTTATCTCTAAATTTAATCAAAGAGGGGTTTTGGGGTTTTGGGGTTTTGGGG